GGGGCAGCGCCGTCCCCCCCGCCCCGCCGGTGCCCCTGGGCGGGAGAGCCGTCGCCTCCCTCAGGGCGCCGCTGTCCCCTCGGGGGGCACCGGCCGCCCCGGCCTGTGGGCCCTGCGGTAAACGGCGCTTTGCTCCCACAGAACCGCTCAGGAGCATCCTGCCCCTGCTGCCTTGCGGGGCCGGGCTGGGTTGGAGAGCCGGGGGGCGGTTTGGTTTGGTTTTCTTAATGCCGTGCGGGGTTCGCTCTTCCCTCCGAGGCTGGTTATGGTCTTCCAAGTCCGAATGCCTCGAGCAGGTACTCTTTAGTTTTAAAAGTCTCTGAACAACAAAATTGTGTAAGATTATCGTCCTGAAAGAGAGACAGATTATGGTTTGTGAAATGTCTAGTGAGGATAACGCTGCAAAATGCCCCAGTAGCTCTACTTGTGCGTTTAAAAGCCCTTTCAATGAAAAGAAACGTTTCACAACCTAAATGATCATTTTTAGTCTGCAATTTCCTACAAAAACTTTCACTTTGTTACACTGTTCATTGGTAATTTTGTTGAAGTAACTGAAAATGGAGATACTTAAAAAGCTGTTAGCTGCACACTTCCTCAGCTCTAAAATCAATACGTGTAGACCTTTGCTCATTGTACGTTCACTTCTCTAGTTTGGGTGATAATGAAGAAAAATCCCTACTGAATCATTTTCTTTTCCTTTCACATCCTTCAGAAATAGTATGGTACCTCTCCAGAGAGTTAAACCCTCTTCTTTTTTTAAGGTGTTTCCTCGAAAGAAGTTTCTAAACTGACACTGCCTGTTTCGTGAGGAGAGCAGGCGGCGAATACCTCGTTAGCTTTTCCTCGTTCGGAATGGGTTAGCGTGGCGGGCAGCAGCTCCTTTGGGTACGTTACTGCTCAGGAGGGGCTTGTGCGGTCGGTGGGATGGGTGGCAGCAGTGGAGTCATCCCACGTCTCTGTTGCATACACATGCTTAGCACAGAAAGCTCCGTTTTAATTAAATATTCCTGGAAGGACAGACTTCTGGAGGTAACGGTGCTGGTGTGTGCTCTGAGAGTATCATCATACGCTAGATAATACAACCCAATGTGAGAGCTGTACCTTCTGATACATTTCAAGTGCCTCTAGATCGGTTTCCCACCTTCTGCCTTTTAAAGGGCTCTAAATAAAACGCATTGTGGAGAAACAGCTTCATGTATTGCTCTGTGGGTATTGATCAACCATCTGGGAAAAGGCACTCATCAGCTTTGCCTTTAGGAAAACAACGAGCTGAAGCAGATTCATAGAATCGTAGAATCGTTAAGGTTGGAAAAGACCCTTAAGATCATTGAGTCCAACCGTTAACCTATCACTGCCAAGTCCACCACTAATTCATACTGAGTTTATTTAATAACCTTGCACTCTTTTTTAAATAAACTGTTTGAAACACTAGTAAGGGTTCCCTTCAAGTATTTATCATTTTTGGTTCATGATCAAGTGAACGTTACATGAATTATCTGTATGGCCATGTAATTTCCATTAACAGTAATAGTAATTGTAAGCATGTAGAAAGAGGATGGCTTATCCTATGATCCTACCTATTATGAAGTAGTTAACTGATTAAGGTTAGGATACTGCAAGCCACTTCATACCATTGGTGAACTCTCTGCAACCCCATTATCTTCATTAGGCTTGTGTGGGTGTAATTAATTGGTGTTTAGTTAACAGTTGTGTTGAATGAAAAGAATTTAGTTCTATTTCTCTTAGTTTTATTGGCCCCATGGTGCTAACATGCTAAAGTGTAATTAAAAACTCTCTAATCAAACTATACGTAGCAAGCCCCGAGGAACAAACCCAGTGAGGAAAAGCCTGTGATTGGTGTGACTCAGGACTTTGAGAAATGACCAGATACAAACGATACCCTATAGTCATTCTTTTTTTGTTTTTAAACAATGAAGATGATTCACTTACATCAACATGTACATTTAAAATGTACAAAACCAGCTGTATAAGCTTGCAATCATCGCTTTCCTAGGGGTCTCCAGTAACACCGTATTTTGATGCCGTCTCAATAGATTTTCTCCCAAAATCTTTTAGATTTTATACTGTTTTGGGTGGATAGAGAAATGGGTCTTGTGTGTCGTTCGAGAGCAGCTGTACCTTATTTTTTATCACCTCTTGCCTTTACTGTAACTCTTGTGCCAGGAAATAAATTATGATCAGCTATTCCTCATTTATGATATTGTATTGTGTACCTTCCCTTTTTTGCAAGATGCTTGGTATCTCACTTGAGTATTTATATGTAGTGCTAATCTGGGGCACTCTAAAACCAAGTATAATACGGCATGCTTAAGTGTGGCGTAAAGGATTTGCTTTTTTCTGTTCTAAAATGTAGCTTTAAAGATGTAAACTTGCCCCTTAAATCAATTAAGATCATGGTCTCACTGCCATCTGTGTTCTTGTAGGATTTCACAGAAGAGTAATGTGTGCTTATTCCACTGACAGGGTCTTCTTTGAAGTCAAGTCCGAGTACATAAAAACTGCATGACATTTCCAATAAAATCAGGATTGCCTTTTTAGCTTGGCGATACAAATACTCTTGTACATTACTGGTTTTGAGGCATTTCAATTTCTTAAATAAAAAAGGCTTTTAAAGTTTTTTCTTTTTCCACCTAAAATGCTGCTGTAGTGTTTCTTTTAAGTCTTAATATTCTGTATTGTATAAAGGAAAAACTCCAGTAACAAAGCTAAATATAACTTGACATACGAGAGTAAACAAAAGCTTTGGTCCTCGGATGTGGCCGAACATAACATTTAGATTGGGCTTTGAGGTTAGATAAAAAACTTCCAAGAACTTGGCTAGTATATATACTGGATATTTGGAAATTTCTAATGATTATTTAGCTCTTTTTTTTTTCCCTCTAGCATTATTATTTTAATTTCCAGAGTATTCATATAAGAGTTCATTTGCCTTGAGTAATCATTCTCCGCTCCAATGGTTACTTCAAGTTGAGTGGGTTTTAGTACTAATTTCTTTCTAAAGTTTGAGGATTCTTCCTGCGGGTCTGTTCAGCTCCTGCTGTGCGAGGGTGAGCCTAGCCTTCTCCAAAGGAGCCTGCTGCACTAACATGGTTAAAATGGGAGAGCTGGCAGGCTTTGATTTATCATTCTAACTCTAAAGGTGATGTGGAACCCACAGTATTTAAAGACAAGTTTTAGAGCTGATGTTTCAGTTTACAGAAGATTGTCCTCAAATTTCTGTGATATAACTGTTTTTTTGTAGTGCGTAGATTTTTTTAATGTAATGCACAGGTTATTGATGAATGCTAGGTTTAGTCTCAGATATCAGGAGTTTACTACACGATTTCTTTGTGTGTGCATTTTGAAGGAACTCTTAGGAGCTTTAAGGCATTATTGAAGCCTACCTAGTTCAGGCACCCTGACATGATGGATTATAGGGATTTTTGTCAGTATATTGTCAATATCATACTCTGAAATGTTAGTACACTTACAAATATATACAGAGTTGGAATGTTATCAGGCTTTGTGAAATTCATAATAAATATTTTCTATGACATGAAAATAAAAATGTGTGCTCATACATCAGTTACTGCATATGCGGTATAGATACAATTTCAAAGATGATGTGGCAACGTGGCCATAATATATTGGCAATTTATACAGGCCAGCAATCAAACTCAGAGATGAACAGAGAGTGAGAAAAGTGGGAATGTGTACTTAACTTTTCTAGTTCTGAGGCTGGGTAATTACTGCTAAAGAAAAACTTACTTTTACATAAATCAGCGGAATTTATTTTTGTTCATCATCTCTTTTTTTTATGGTCAGAATGGTTTTCTTGATGTTCTAGTTTGAACATGTGGTTCCAACAGCAGACAGAAAAAGTAATGTATTAGTTAGAAGGGAATTACTCTTTTCTGACCTGTTTGTTGAAATGAGATAGCTTTCAGAAAAGAATGATTTGATATCTTTGTAAAGATTCTGAGCACTAAAGCACTTTTTTTTTTTTTTTTTTTGGTAAATTTCTCCATTCATTATCTTCCCTAGCTTTCAGAAAAGAATGATTTGATATCTTTGTAAAGATTCTGAGCACTAAAGCACTTTTTTTTTTTTTTTTTTTTGGTAAATTTCTCCATTCATTACTCTCACTATAAAGAATTTTGCGGAAGTTTTTTTTACAATTTAAATTTTCTTAGCTTTACCCTTCGGGCTTTGTGTCTTCCTCTTTCCTTTTATACTGGATTAGAAACCCCCTAAATTTGCTCAACTATTTGAGAAGCAGTACATGCAGTTCCAAATACAGAAACTTCTGGAGTGGTTGGAAGCAATCTGTAGGTTATCTGTTACTGGTTAGCAGATCAAAGGCTTACATGACTGAGAAGTGAAACCTGACTAGTGCAGATGAACTGGTGATCTGTGGGATACATGAAAAATAAATTTGAAATCCAAGTTACTTACAAGTATGTAAAAGTTGAAGTGAATATCGCAATGAGTGAGAAATAGTGTTAATTGAGTCCTCAAGTCTTGTAACTTGCTGACAGATTTTAAGAGAAGCCTTTCTGTTTCTTTACAGGAAAAGTGAAGCTGGTAGCAGAGGGGTTTAAGGAGTTCAAATAAAAAGGTAATCTTTGCATAACTATTGAGAATTGGGGCTTTCCTGCATCCTGTGATTTTTTTTTTTTTTTTTTTTTTTCTCAAACACATTTTTTGGGACAAACTGAGTATGGAAGAAAAGGAAGAATGGCATTTTTTTTTTCCCCATGGTGTATCTCCTGATTTTTACAACCTTAATCACTTGGGGCATGTCTTGAACTTTTAACCTTCTTTCCCCAGCACTGATGCTGTGAATAATGGACTCTCCTGCTTGACACATAACTAGATTGCAGTTCAAAGTGGATGTCACAAACACTATTGCACCATCTGGAGCAAAAGCTTGACTATCGTTTTGGGATAAGCCCATAAGATCATATGAATTTATAACTGACTTCATTTTTTCTATTGCACTAATTTAGGTTTCTTGAATCAAAAATATGTTATTTTTTCAAAAAACTGGCCTCCTGTTGCTGGTATTTTTTGCACAACCCGCCAAAATTTTCAGATCTTGTATGAAAGTCGTATTACATTTATAACCATTTTGATTCTACTTTTTGCAATAAACAAGATTTAAATAGTTCTCCTGAGGCTAGGGAAATGCTGCGTGAATTGTGGAGATAAAATTCTCTATTTTCCCCTATTTCCATTGTTATCTTTAATAGTTTCCTTCAGTTCAAGACTCAAAAAAAAAAAAAAGAAATATTGC